GGTCGCGTGCCCCACCGTCACCCATCTTAAGTCACAATACCTCAAATCGCAGACGGTATTGTACTTCCAGCTCTCTCAGCATCTTAGCAGACGACACGAGCCCCGCCAGGTGTTATGCAAGTAGTTAGAAGGGAACCCCGCGGTCGCATTGTTAAGAAAAATAAGGACCAACAAGCAAAAAGTTCTTTGGCCCTTTTGTATACTAGTGCGCAAGACGACTAATCGAAGGGTGTATAAGAAAAAAAAATTCGGTTCGTTTACTACCCCTCCGGTCAGACTCGCCCTTTGTGGAAGTTTCGATTATGATTGCAAGCTTTTGTCAAAGGACAGGATGGTTTTCTTTCGCGACGACTTAGGGGTTGGGGGATGCAGACGCTTGAGCTGGTTTCGAACCGTCGTCTACCGTTAGGGGTTGCGCTGAAGGCGCGCAGTTGTAAGGCGTTCCGTTATGTTTTCATATGAATTTTAATTAACTGTTACTGAGAATAACACTAATAATGAAATAAAAAAATCTTCATATCTGCATCGAAATACGAACTCGTCTGTCACTTGAATCATCAATTAAAATAAACTAGTTTTTGCAAAGAATTTCGAAGAATTCGCCCAGAGAAAGGGTCCGAGAACTCCGAGAGTTGAACAAACCCGTGTTCATTCCTGGAAACTCATAAAAAAGTCCCTCTTTTTAAAACACCAAAAGTCAATCTAATTTTCCATTTAGTCGACTCAAAATCGAAAAATAATGACCATTGACCAGATGGGATTGTATAGATATTTATTTGGATATATCGACACGCTTGACCAACTCGGGAAGTGGGTTGTGTTTTATTGCCGCTTTTGGTGTAAAGTTATCTACACTCAGTATTAATCAGGTGGGGTGAAGTATAGGTGACGCGAGGTGAACTCCGGGCACCACCCCAAAACACCCCGGATCCAGATGTGTGATCCGGTCATACAAGCAGCTGGACACTGCCCTCGCCCCGGAACTTCCGAAATGATCATCTAATTGTTCAAACCACAAATTCATTACCAAATTTATCTAGTATTGAAAAATTACAAGAAGTTAAGCTTTTATTTTAAATGTTTTTCTAGGTACAGTTTTCGTTTTATTATTTTTTGACTAATTAGTCTAAAAAATGCGTAATTGAAAACCTAATTTTTATTAATCTATGGATCAGAGTAAGAAGAAAATTTCGTTAGGCAGGTGCGACAAGACGTTCAACCGATGCTTATTTTAGGGAAAAGGGGGACGAAATTCGGCAACAATAGAAAATTCAGACCCGCACCGTTACAATAAGAATTACTGCAACAATAAGCCAAGAAGGTTCACAGAATCGACCAAAGCTAATACTGATCCTGATGTAACTTATTGGTTATTTATTTCGATGGCGTAAAGTTGTGGCGGCTGTACTTGATAAAGGCCAGCAGCTGCAATTTCTTTTGTTTGATAAAATGTCGTTTCGCGTATACCTGTGTTGGCGATTTGTTCAAGATTGTGAATTATGCGTCTTGAAATCTGGTTTGTTCAACACAAAACCAATATAAACAGTTGGCGAAATTAGCTCATACAAAGAATTTTCTTTTTTTTCCCTGTTGAGATGAAATATTTAACACGCAGAAAAAAATTTCTTCTCAACCTCCCAACGTTTAGGTATTACGCAATATTAGGAATAAATTCTTATCTCGTGATAGGAGGGATATCCTTTGAAGATTTATATCAATAAGCAGCTTTCAAATTATGTAAATACATATTCCTATTTTGCAATTGTACTTTTTATGAATAAATATTGAAAATAAATGTAGATCCACAAGGTTTTGATAGAAGTTCACTGTATACCAATTCACCCTACATTTGGTAAAATTGTCTTTAAAAATAACTATACGATGGCCTCCATCGTAGGCTGAAATTTTTACTATTTTGACGTTTTTGTTCGTTGTGTTTGTTTGGTTCTTAAAAAAATTATTGAGAGAGAATTGTACTCAACAAATAGTTATATTCGAATACGACATTTTTTCGAAATTATACAAAATTCCAGATTTTAAGAGGAATTAAAACTTGAACAACAATATTTAATGGGACATTTATTTCTCAATTTCTCCGTGATGATGAAAAAATTAAAAAAAATACCGTTGAGAGTAAAATATATATATAAAAAAACAGTTATTCTGCTTGATAAAATACAAACACGTAGGTACATAGTTTCTGATTAATTTCTCTTATTAATAGCATAACTATTTTTTTGTGTTTCAAAAATTAGTTGAATTTATATAAACATTTACTTAATAGCAAATATTTAAGTAAGTTTTATGTTGATGTTAGTTCTATAATTAGCATAGATAATAATTTAGTAATTAGCATATTTTTGAATTAAATTTGGTCACCAAGTGAATTTTTCAAAGCAATTATACACTTTCTATTTCTACTTTAAAAAAATCGGTTTTGTTAAGAACGGTTCTTATTTTTTTTAATACATAGAAGTAAGGTGGTGCGGTTAGATCTTGCACCATATTAGGCACTTCGGGCCACCTGTACCTACCAGAAAATAACATAGTGTCTATAAATGTCTGCATTCGAATCGAGTTACATTTTAACATCCGGTATGCACATCTTGACCCAAAAAATCCGATTTAAATTTACGTCCGCGAGGAGGGTAACATCCTGTGGATGCAAAGATGGTGAAACCCATATTCATTGAAAATTTGCCTCACCCCTGAGGGTGAAAGTTCTTTTGATATTTATATGAGAAGCAGTCTCAACGTAAAAAATCTGGGATAAAAACAACCCTATTGATTTCATTGAATAGCCAGGATCGTAATAAGGGTGTCTGTGCCAAATCTTAATTACAAAACACCCCAGATTAAGACTCAAGATCTCGTTTGTGCTATTGTTAAACATTTTACCTGGCAATTCTTTGTGTTGTAATATGTAGGTACCTTTCCTTTGTCAAAAATTTGCGAGTTTCGTGTGAAAATCGATGTTTTGATTAAAGTAAAGCGGCAGGTCGACGACGTACGATTCAAAGTTCATGTCAGAGGGTAATTTCTGACTTCATAATTACATCGAGGCAGGTGGTAGACATAAGGCAGGTAGCATTACGTCCGTTTTATAGTGCACCTTGCGTCGCGAGATGCTCATTATAGCTGCTTTTAAATCTCCAACGCTCAACACATGCCGGCCGCAGCCTCGAAAAGGACCATTTTTCGATTATTTTGATTATTTTTGGTGTTATAAAGTCGGAGATTCGGCCAAAATGGAGGGGGTTTGACGCGTGTACCGGTTAAACCAACTGTTGCACTTCGTTCTAATTAATTGAATGTCTTGTAGAAACCGAAAACCGATCTGTTGTAAGAAGTGCATCAAGCGTAACCATCAACGAACGCGTGTCTTGGCCGCGTGCGTCTTCGGGAGGGCCCACGAAGGCATGACACGATTTCCACGCCATATGTGACCCAATTTGAATCATTAGAATAAATTTCGGGAGAAATTAATAAACTGCAGTTGCTTTAAAGAGAGAGTGAAGAGTGATCGTAAGGCAAACGTAAACAAGGAAAGAATTCCACGTTGTTATTAGGGATGAGTCGTGGAAGTAGGTAGAAAAAATTGCTCCACCACCTGCTCCTCGTACTATCGACATTTTTCTACCTTTGCCTTGGCATATGTTTCTAGTTTCTTAACCTCGCGTGTTTTTATATCGAGGGAAGAGTATGAAGGAAACTTTGACATCGTAGTAAAATTAATAAAACATAAAGATAGGGGCGAATAGGGACAACGACATCGTGACACCTGGAATATACAAGACGAGCGATTAACGAACGATATCGTGCACAAAAAATCCTTTTTTATATCAAAGAACCCTTTCATTTACATATGTGACAAAATGCGTGTCGAAATGAGAAAAAAATTACGGACGTCATTTGCAGAGTCCTGAAGAAATTGAAAAATGGACAGTGTTTATTTCATATTAACTGCCACAAATTTGCAATTTTTTCTTAAAAATAAGTTTTAATTAACATAATTTTTTAATCAAAGCAGAAACTGAAAATCTCATCTAATCTTATTTATTTTGGCTTAATTTATTTTTTTCTTTGTTGCAGAACCTTCTTTGGTGCAAACTCCTCCATCGGCTATTGCGGCTGCTTGCATTTGCTCGGCCGTGCGAGGCCTAAAACTGTCTTCGTCAAACGCTGCTACAAGAGATGTTTGTTCAATGGTCAGCATTGAAAGCGAAACTTTGGAAGTCTTGGTCACAATTGTTGACAACGCTGTTGATAAAGTCGTGCCGAAAACTCCCGAAAAGCCCCCCAAAGCAGTGGAAGGTTTCGAAAGTCCGCAGTATCCACAACCGGAAACTCCGACTGAAGTTGAAAACATCTACTTCTAAACAATTGTTGGCCATTTTGTTTGTGTTATTTAGATTTAATTTTATTAACGAATTCTAGACACGTTTAAAGTAATGTTACGTTGAATAGCCAAAAAGACGCAAAAATGATCTCTTATTTACCAGTAGTATTGACAATGCGTTATGTAACGAAGATTCCTGCTAATGTATTTGATCTCAAATTCATGGTTTAAATAGTTTATGTGCACCGTTAGTGCTAGTTGTGTTAAGGGCACATGTCTTACTTTTAAGAACTCTTCTGTGATTAAATCAAACCACTATAAAATTGGCACAAAAGTACTGGTATTTGGACGCATGGTTTTTAAAAATTGTTTTTTGACACTCTTTTGGTTATTGGTTTGTTATCTAGTCTTTAGTTTTGTATTTGCGTTAGTTAATTTTCCCCATATTTATAGTAGCATAATATACTCAGATAGCATTTATACTTATGTACGTTGTATTATTCTACGTGTACTATGTATTTATTTTTATTATAATCATAACTTATTGTAAGACCAAAGTTTTTTTTTAAGTTGAGTACTTAAAGTGTTCAATATTATTTTATATGTATTTTTCATAAAATGTACTACGTTCATATTAGTTTTATATTAAAACAATTTTTAAAAAGACAAAGCTTTTTTATTTTCCTCAATTCATTTATATAGTATAAAAATCAATAAATTATACATTATATTATAAAAAATGTGATACTTTATATAATTTTGGTTGGTTGGAAGTGTTGATAGTAGCTGCGAGTATAGTCAACCATCAAATCAGCCTGACACTCAGGTAAATCCCCAATATTCATACCAGGTGAGCCTCCATATCTTGTAAATGGAGGAACAACAGTTTCCGGTGCCAAAACTGTATTATCCTCAATTACGCAGCAGTCTTTCAAAATACATCTCCGTCCCTTTAAAAACAAAAATTCGATCCAATTCAAAAAATTTACACAACTTACAATAACACAATTTCTTCCTATGTATACATAAGAGCCCACAACAGCCGCACTCACAACTGACCTTTCCCCAACAAAAACATGATCACCCATTACTAAAGGGAAAAAAGCGACTCTAAAACATTTTACGTTGCATATTGTCTGTTTGATAATAAATTTAAATAAAGTACCCTTTGCTAAATTTTTTGTAAGGGGGTCTTATGACCGCTTCTTTACTTATAATACAGTACCGACCTGTCCTTACATTTGCTAAATCTCCACGAATTATCGCTTCAGACTGGACTATTACTTTGCCTTGTAAAATTATATTTTGAGAGCCGCATAATACTGTTTGACGACAAACTTTGTTGCCAGAAGCCTTGGAAAATTTTCTGATTAATAATTTAAATATGTTTTATAAAACTCCTCACCGTTTCTACGTAGTCTCCTTTGTTGTAGTTAATTTCGGGTAATTCCATCGCTAATATTATTTGTTAAAAACGGAAAACCACAAATTATAACCTCTAACTTTACTTTGACGGATGTCAACATGACAATGTCCATGCGCACCATTTCTCATGACCGCTAATTTTAAAATAAAAATTCACTGCTTCATAAATCAGAAATAACTACACTATATTTTCTATTATAAAAAACTAAATGAAACTTGAGACTTCGATAAGTAATCAGGAAAAGCCTAATATGAATAAAACACAACATAGTGAAAAAACTTTATTTCCAGTTACTCTTGACTGGCGTCAACATTTTCAGTTTGTAGTCCCTTGAAAGTTCCTACAGGGACGTAAGTCACTAAAGTAAAAAGTTTGTTAACTGAATCCTCATCATCGTTTCGTCGCCGAGACAAGCGGACGCGAACACGGAAAGGAACATTCCTAAAACACACCATTAAATTATTTACACTTTATGGTTTAATAAGCCAAACCTGATCCCTTTTGACCACAACTGTTTGTTCAAACGAGTATCAATCCTGACATCAGGAGTACCCATCTGCTGTTCAGCAAATTTCCTAATTTCCTTGATAGCACGAGGGGCTCGTTTCTTAAAGCTAATTCCGTGCAACCTTTTGTGAAGGTTTACTGTATATTCACGAGTTACCACCTCATTGATGGCGGATTTGCGGCTTTTCTCACCCTTTTGCTTGGCCATTGCGCCTGAAATGAAACATAACCTTAATCAGTCACCTGCCAAATATTAATACAAACATAAAGAATTGAGTAAAATTTAATAATGAAGGACACTAGCAGCTACTAAAGAGTGTACCTCAATAAATAAAAGTATATTTTAGTGTTTCAAAACAAGGATGATTAGGATATTTAAGAAAATTTAAAAAATAATGCATACCTTTGACGTTTGTCAACACGAAGAAATTCCGAAAACGACAGTAGCGCCAACTTTGCCTAAAATAAAAATAAGCCGATAAAATAGCAAACTGCTAAATTTCTAAAACAAACATTTAGCAACTCATTGGTAGATGGCACTCAAACCTCTAAATTAAATTTTAGAATATTTTTTTTAATATAATAATAGAAAAAATTGCAACTTGTATTCAAAAACTAATAATATTTATTTCATTGTGTAATTTTTAATTAATATATTTTTTGAGAAATTTTTGTGTATATGGGGTTGCCTATAATCAATTTTTTTAGTACATTTTTTTAGAATCACAATATTACTTATTCTATGATATTATTTTTTAACTTTGTTTATTAATTGTTTATTACTTAATTATAATTTTGAAAATGTTTTTCACATTAGCTTTGAAATTCGTTGTATAAGTGAAAAGTTTTGTTATTTTTTGCTTGAAATTTATGCATTTTGGTAGCAGATGTCGGCAGTAGATTTGATTTTTGGCCAGCGACCAAAATCGAAGATGGTTTTAGCCTCCGCGTGCTGAAAATACTCCAACAAAAGCTTCTACGCATCTCCGCCATGAATTAGCCGTTTCCATGTAATCCTGCAGGAAAATGCAATTGTTCCTGCTATTTATACGCCTAAAGCTGCGCATCATCTCCAGCGCCATTCCTGCTAATCCTGCTTGTGTAGGTTTTGTGTTGTTAATAAAATTCATGAGGGCTGATGGCCACGCATTCGCGCGTAATTTTGGAAGGCTGGTCTGGTAGATGGTGTCTGGTGCGTGAGTAAACAAGCGACGCATAGAAGTAGGGTTATATGTGGAGGCCAATGCTCTGCCGAATGCAACGCGGTCGCGACTGTTGAAGGACAAGGGTCTAAATTCAATGACCTAACTTTAGAGGACCTTTAGAGGACATGCAATGCGTATGCAAGCCGTGGCGGTTCCGGGGAGACGCGGGGACTTCACACAACCGGGGCCAGATGCCGGTACATTCAATCTAGAAATTATCTACGAATAAAAAAAGCATCGGGACCTTGAAAGCTAGTTTTTACAGTTTTAGACCAAGTCGCGGCGATAGCACGGATTCTAGGACAAGGCTCCAATTAGTGGAGAAAAGAACCAATTTTCCAAAGGGGCAATTGAATAAAGTTTTACTAAAAATCAATGCGCAAATTCGAACCGTTCAAAAAATACATACCAAAGAATCAAACTTTCTCGAAAATCCTGAATGAATTTCAGCTACCTAGAGAGTGCAGTGGACCACTAAACAGCAGATTTAAAGAAATTTCTGATGGCCAGGTTTCCACGTATTTTGCTTACAACTTATGATTCTGACTTTAATTTTCAAAGTTTTTGATTGTTAGAACAGCAAACTAAAAAAGTAATATAGCTTTCCTAAACCAAGCGTTTTTTTCTTCTCCATTGCGTGGCCAATTTGGACTTTTGATTTGATTGAATTACAGTTTTTTCCATTCATAGCATATAGGTGGAGAAACAACCAATTTTTAAATGAGAACGAATTTTACTAACAACCAATGCGAAAATTCGGAAATATTAAAAAATGCAACTAATAAATTTACTTTCACGAATAATTTTCAGCTACATAGAGTGTGCCACGTCTAAACAGCAATTTAAAAAGCAAATCTGAGTATTTTAAGTTTAGAAATAGCAAGTTTCTATGTATTTTACTTAAAACTTATGTTTTGACTTTAATTTGAACGTTTTTGCATAACTATGGCGACAAACTAAAAAACAATTATTTTCCACATTACTTACTATGTTTACAATTGTATGCTCTAAAAAATTTTATCATTACGACTTGAGTTAAAATTGCAGTATTTAATTCATGGGAATCTTCCACTCATTATCGAGAAATCGCCTAATTTTAAAGTGAGGCAAAAAACAAAATTTGACTAATAATTAAATAATGTCCAAATAAAAAAATGTAAAAAAAATGCTTTTATGAAAGATCAGCTTTGCCTGGAGTGCCTTGTAAGACTAAACATTTCGTTTTAAAGAATTTTATGACAATTCTAAGTTTAAATATATTATTTTAACTTATTAGATTAAACGTATATTGTATTTTGCTTAGAACTCATGATTCTGACTGGTATGATATGGTAACAAATTAAAAAGTATTTTATTTCTAAAATCAGAAATCAGAAGGTTTTTTATATTTGGATGTTTTAAAATTTTCAATATAAAATTTAATTTTTTTTGAGCAGTAAATTTATTTTAAGATAGAATCACTTTATAAAATGGAATTGATTTGAGAAAATACAAAAATTTGGAATAGAGGGAGCAAAAGTCAGTCGGGGATTAAAAACGCTAATTTACAACCCATTTAACGCAATACGGGCAGATAATGGTCCTCATGAGCAGTTTACTGAATGACGCATCCGCTTTTTACTCCATATGTTGCACACGATTGAGCAAATCTAATGCAATTTGATATCCAATTACGTCTCGATGGGACGCGGACGCCTATCTCATTGATTGGGGTACAATACACCCTCATAAATGGCGAAAAACTAACAAACGGTTCGAATTCACTACACATTTTTTTATTGACATTTATTCGACTGGTCTCGTGGCAAAAAAGGTTTATAATGACCCACACCCAACACATAGTGGAGTAATTTCAATGCTGGGTCCGGTGGTGCATTGATTTTTTTAGGAGAAATTTGCATATTTCGCAAGAATGAGTCGAGGCTTAAGATTATATCGAAGTGACGTAAAACTGACACGAAAAGTAAAAAGTGAATGGAAAAATGTTTAGCGAAAGAAAAAGTTGATTTTTATCGGAGCTAGCTTATTAATGAAGGTTGAAATGGCACACAAGTGTGACATTTTTAGGCCATAGCGGCTTCAAATAAATTTAAAATTTGTTTATTAACGGAAATGCAAAACCGTCTTCAAGTTGCTGGTCAAGTTTTTGATTAATTTAAAAATGTTGCTGTCTTACCTTAATTGCAAGCTCAATTCTATAAAATTTACAAAAAAGGATTACAGAAATAAGTTTTTATATGTGCAAACTCTTTATTTTTTAATTTTTACACTAAAGAAAGAGTATTTATACATAGAATTTGCTCTTTATTATTTCTGTTTAAATAAATAACACACTTTGTGTTACAAGATTTTGCGGTAATGCTTTACTGAACCAGCTTGAATGAAAAAGTAAAAATACCAGTGGCGTCCGTTTATCAGTTGGGCTAGGCCAAGCCAGCGTCTGGTGTGTAGTCCACACGCCCCTCCCACGTCAGCATCCTCTTTATTCATAACCCTTGACAACCGTCCGATGATCTTCCGGTTTCGGGCGCAAGAAACATCGCATGAAAGTCAAATGAAGTGTCGGTAGATAGACTTTCCGCGGCATCTTTGTCACCCTACGTGAGACCACCACCGGAATGGTTAACACGAAAAAAATTGAGTAATATGTAGCGTCTGCACCAGTCGAGGATGATGACAGTCTGCGTTCCCACCAGCCAATTACTCCTGCAGTCTGGCCGTATTAAAATAATTTGGCTTATCTAAAAGAGAGACGGGCGAAGGTCGTAAGGCCACCCTTCAACCCGCACCCGCGTCGCTTATTAAAGAGTAAAAAACGCATACGTCTTGTTAAGCTGCAGGAGGCTCTGGAGGCGCGCCTCCGGATTCGCTAAATTGTTTATCTAGGTGTGTGGAAATCGTCCACGTGACGTCTTGTGGTGAAAGTTGTCAATTATGTCACAAGAAGTTCGTTAATGTCGAAACCATTGCCAACATTCGCTCAAACACGAGGCCGACGACTAATCTACGCCAATTAATTACCGAATTATGTAAATTCCAGCTTCAAAATACGATTGTGTTTAACGTTAGGTTAACTCAAGTTGGGTTTGCTGAGGCCAATAACCTTGTCCTAACTACCCAATCCATGTGCATAGCGATCTTGGCACCATGTATCTTTCATTTTAAACAAACCAAAAAACAGAGATAAATATTTAAAAACGAACTGTCTTTACACAAACTATAAATCGACGGAATTCTAAAAGAAAGAAAACAATTAAATTGGATACATTTATGATGCATGCGGAAGCTTGATGCACCAATTGGTTTAAAAATAATTCATTCATTTCAGCCACATGGGTCCAATGAACTTTTCGCAAAGCTACTCAAACAACTTTCTAATATTAGGTACTTTTTATTTGCCCATAGTCATGCTAATCCAAAATCAAACATTTGAATTTCCTAACTCCTCATTATGAAGCGGTTTTTGGGACAACGATGTTTTGAAATTTTAATTTTTCTTTGAGCAAACAGTAAATTCAACGGATCTTCGCATTTCTCACACACCTTGAATTTTAAATGCAAATCTAGACAATAAACATGCCATTTTGTGACAAAATTTTACAAAAAAATATTCATGTTTTTTTGGTATTGCATTTTCACTGGCTAATCAACCAAAGTATTTATTAGAAAGATGTCTAGGTAGATTTCACTTCCAGTTTTATTTTCACTTTAAATTCATTTAAAGGTTTGTCATTGTTGACAAAATTGAGCCAATTAATATAAAAAAGCTTCGTATTTCTTCGATTACTCTGACAGTAAAGAAAATAACGAAATGCGGTTTCTTTTGGACGATAAACATTCATTTTTTTCTATGGTCCGAAAATATTTTTGTCATTATAAGTAATTTCTATATAGGGTGGCGCAACAAAGTTATATTTTTTCTTATGGAACACACGGTATATTATGCGCTTATTTGAAAGAGTTTTTAATTCTAAGAATATCCAAATTAGGTTTTATGGGTCTATCATGGACCGTTTATCATTTATGGGCAATTTTATGAAAAAAAGGACCATTTTTGAAAACTCACAACGGCTTTGTTAGAAGGAAAAAGTGAATAAAAACAATTGCAACTATTTTTACTGAGTCTGGTCCTAAATTATTATGGTAGAAATTCAATCAATCTTTTGCAACCACTGCAGTGTTGACATTCGCAAAATATCAATTATCTTGATTTTTTCAAATGAAACACCCTGTATGTTATTACATTATCGTGTA